AATCATGGTGGCCAGAGAAATGATTAGACATGGTTTCAGGCCAGGAAAAGGGTTGGGAAAAGCCTTACAAGGAATATCTGAGCCAGTAACTCTACCCGCAACAGAAAAGTTCTTCGGAGTAGGCTTCCAGCCTACCCCAGACGATGAGGAATGGGCTGAAGAAAGAAAGAAGGATGGGTTCTGCCACATCCATTGCCATATCTCTACGAAACTTTTGTCAAGACCAAGTATGGCAAAGAAAAGGACGATGAGTTGTTCACAGTTGAAGAAGGCGAGGATATCTGTGGGGCCATGAGACAAATGCTCTATGAAACCAACATGGTTCAGCTAGGAGAAGGGACTAGCACCGCTGAAATGCTCTATATGGGGCCAGATGCTAAACTCCAAAACTGGAAGGCTACGCCATTCCCGAATAGGCGGGAGTCCCGTTATAATAATGCAGCTTTAAATAACATGACATGCTTGCGGACTCCATGCCCGGACTCAAACACGCTGTTTAATTGTGAAATAATGAATCAAGAACCGGAATATGATGAGGAAGAGGCTTTTAGGGAGATCAACCGAGAATTGGAACAATTTGAGAACAAACCTAAGCCAAACCTGAACGACACTGAACCGGTTAATTTGGGAACGGCCGAAGAAATAAGGGAAACCAAAATAAGCATTCACACAGATCAACACACTCGAGATGCAATAATCCAGCTCCTGTTCGAATTTAAAGATGTGTTTACTTGGTCGTATGACGACATGCCAGGACTAAGTATGGACCTAGTGGTGCACAAATTGCCGATCTACCCCGATTGTCCTCCAGTACAGCAAAAGCAAAGGAAGTTCAAAACTGATATCAGTGATAAGATCAAAGAAGAAGTCACAAAACAGTTGAAGGCGGGGGTAATCCGAGTGGTCCGATATACCACGTGGTTGGCCAATGTGGTTCCAGTACCAAAGAAAGACGGAAAAACCCGGGTGTGTGTAGATTACCGAGATTTGAACAGGGCAAGTCCCAAAGATAATTTCCCGTTACCTAACATTCACATCCTTGTTGATAACTGAGCCAAACATGAAATACAGTCTTTCGTGGACTGTTACGCAGGATATCACCAAGTGTTGATGGATGAAGAGGATGCCGAAAAGACAGCTTTCACTACACCATGGGGAACCTACTGTTATCGGGTCATGCCGTTTGGGCTGAAGAATGCTGGGGCAACTTATATAAGGGCCATGACCACCATCTTCCACGATATGATGCATCAAGAAATAGAGGTGTATGTGGATGATGTAATCATTAAGTCACGAACTCAGAACGATCACGTTCGAGATTTGAGAAAGTTCTTTGAACGGTTGCGCAAGTATGATCTGAAGTTGAATCCAGCTAAATGTGCTTTCAGAGTCCCATCGGGCAAGCTCTTGGGTTTCATAGTCAGCAGGAGAGGTATTGAGTTGGATCCAACAAAGATAAAGGCCATTCGAGATTTACCTCCTCCAAGAACTAAGAAGGAGGTGATGAGTTTATTGGGCAGGTTAAACTATATCAGTCGGTTCATCGCTCAATTGACTACCACCTGTGAGCCTATATTCAAGTTATTGAAGAAAGATGCGGCTATCAAGTGGACGTCCGAATGCACTCTCTCGTAACAAATTCTTGTTGTCCTATTAACTTCCCAAACTATCTGCCCCAGTTTCACACAATTCGGGCTTTGAATGATCTCAAAATGTCTAGATCTTTACTTATTTCCCTCAAATGTCTCTGTCATCTTCAAAACTTGTTTCATTGTTTCATGACTAGACTAACTTTCAAGACCAGGTTGAGAATTCCGCGTGCAAGTCATGTCACTAGAGTCAGCATGAAAATAACTATAAAAGAAAAAGAGAACTAAACAAATACGGACTAGAAATAACAGAAAACAAGAATTGCATTAAACATAAGGTGAAAGGGTTTGGACAACAAAACAAGCAACAAAAAACTAGTTATAACCCTGGAACGACCTAAATAACACTAAAATGAGGTAACAAGACTAATCGAGCTAGGCAAAATAAAAGGGTAGAAGGGTTTGACTCACAAGTCAATATCCGGATTACAACCCTGAAATAACCCGGACAACAGAAATGACGAGAAATAAACTTCGAGGGCTCCTTCATGGATAACCAAGTAAGGAGTGTCTTTCCAATTACGAAGCTCGACATCTTAGCCATTGAGTCGCACATCGACATTACTAGGACCTTCACAAGTCTCCATCACATCGACCTCAGCAAATTGCTTTTGGGTCCTCTCTGCTGACTCGTTCTTAAGAGCAACTTCTGGAACCGAGACTGATGGCGCTGAAAATTTTGCGGTGAGTGGCCCTCCAAGGGATTTAGAAGAGTTCTCATATTCCTTTTCAACACAAATCATACCCAACATATGCGCCTCATTTTGAACAGACAATGGACTTTGGCTAGTATCTGCTGCATCTGGACTTTGCACAGTAATGTCACCTGCATCAATAAGCTTCTGGACTACTCTTTTCAGATGATCAAAGATAATGATTGAGGATGATCAGCTCGGCTTCCCGGCATCGGCTAAAGGTCGGGAGAAGAATAGAGAGAAATCAAAAGACGATTTCGACACAAACAGACGGTCTTCGAGGGACCGATTTTTGCCCTATGAACGGGCCAAAAGACGCGACAGAGGTTTCCGGTCGGCAGATAGGTTCGTTACCGATAGTAGAACTCCACCCAAGTCGTCGCTTAGAACTCGAGCAAGCTTTCTTTCAAATTCTGAGAAGCATCGGAACATCTCGGATTCAAACCCTTGGTGAATGCTTTAGCCGCCCATTCATCGGGAACAACCGGGAGCAACATCCTTTCCTTCTGGAACCGGGTTACAAATTCCCGCATCAACTCGGACTCTCCTTCTGCAATTCTGAATATATCAGCCTTTCGGGCCTGCACCTTCCCCGACATGGGCCTAAATGAAAGAATCTGCGAGCATCTCAAAGGAATCAATGGAATGCTCGGGCAACAATGAATACCACGTCAAGGCTCCTCTCGTTAGAGTCTCTCCGAATTTTTTCAGCAAAACTGATTCGATCACGTGGGGAGCTAAATCGTTCCCCTTCACCGCTATTATATAAGTGGTGATATGCTCCTGAGGTTCTGAAGTCCCATCATATTTTGGCACACCGGACATTTTAAACTGCTTTGGAATCAATTCTGGTGCCACACTCAATTTGTATGGAAATTGAGTGTACTTCTTTGAGTCTGGTCCTTCCAGCACTGGCGGTGCATCCGGAATTCGGTCCACGCGGGCGTTCACTTCCCTCATAAATAGTATAAGTTCGCTTTTGAAGGATCGCTCTCGTTGTTGTGACCGGATCCGCTCCCCCGATCCCATCGAAGTCGACCTCACCCCTCGGGGTGTTGGCAAGGACAAACTTAATTACACAATTGTCTAGGCCCCACGACGGGCGCCAAACTGTTTACCCGTAAAACGGTACCGTTGAATTTATACGTAATCTTTAGACAAGTAATTAATTTGATCCTGAAATAATAGATGATTATGTAAATACACGATACTTAGCCTTGAGATGGAGACGAAATAGCAAAAACAATAGTTTCGGGAGCAGGGCTTCCGGGCACAACGGTAATGAAATCAAAAAGCAAGAAGATAAGATTATATTAAGCTTTGAATAGAGTGTATCAGCATATGTTTGCCAGAAAATTCGTATCCTTTACAATGATAGTAGAGCTCACTATTTATAGCTGCACCTATGGAACAAGGTCCTAGGATCAAGCCCCTCTTTAATGTCAATTATGAGAGCCATTGAAGAGTATATAACGGCGGACATGAATACCATATTCTTTTGCAACGAGCAGTGTACTAAATAATGTAGAATATTCATCATTAAATACTACCGGATGGCAAACATTTGTTTCATCTTTATGATCATCATTCTCTCCGATAACAGACGAAATAGTTCAGCCATCGTCTATCTTGGACTCCATACATTGGATGTTGAATCCCGCTAGACGTATTACGTATTAGTTTTTATTTTTATTTTTTGAATATTCTTAGCGGAAATCTTGGTTCCGGCAACTGATTATTTGATGGCTAAGGTACAAGTAACTTCTTGTTGCAAGTTACAACTATTTTTTTCTTAAAATTAATGATTACAACAACACGTCATGTCTAAACCCTCAATAGGTGAGAAGGCTACATGGATCTTTTATATTTCGTTCTATTATTTTGGTCTCTGCCCTAAAATTAGAGACATTACTATGGAGGATTTATTGTAATTTAGCTATTTTACACTAAATGAACATATAGGTAAATTTAATATGGTAAAATTATGAGTTCGAAATTCTAATACATTCCACATTTATTAATCCATAATATATTAGTTATACTTAATTTAGTAAAATTTTATAACACATGTATAAGATTTGAGCCCGTAATTCACTGACAACATTGCCGTCTGTATATTTTTCACTCAATGGAAGATTACACGCTACGCTATGATAAATTTGAGAATGTGACCAACAACGAAGTGTGTACGAACAATGCATCAAAATGTCACTATGGATCTTTACACAAATTCCCTTCTCCTTTTTCCCCTCCCCCTCTTCCCCCTTTTTTTTTCTTTCTAGGAAGGCTTTTATAAAAACATAACTAGCGTCAGAAGCTAAGAGCGATAAGGCAAAAGTAGGGGCGGCTTTCAAAAAGTAGAACATCATTAGGTTGGAGATCCGTGGTTGTCTTCCCATGCTTGGCTAATACATCCGCTACAGCATTACCCTCCCTGAATGTGTGTTGGATCTTGGCACGTGGAGATCCTGGAGCATCGGCCTGCATGCAAAAATGATATGTGAGTATTTTGGTGGAACATTTGATAAGATGTGTAATAGTAGTATAGTACTTGAGAGTCCGTTTCCACTTGTAATGGTCGGAAGTTGCAAATTTGCTAGTAGTAGACCGTGACATAAAGCTAGCTATTCAACTTGTAGAATATCAGTATGTCTCAATTGTTTGGTAAAGCCATACACCCAGGTGCGCCAAAAAATCCTTTTTTTCCCTTCCCAAAGTGTTCCATAGCCTCTAACTAACGCTGTCCAAAAATATATTTAAAAACAAATCAAGCAGTCAAGGTTTAGACTTTAGACCTTTCTAAATTCTAAAATCTTGATTTACGCTCGTCAAACTTGAAACATTCCATGAAACCAGAATTCCAAAGTTGCTCTTACAAAAGTATCATTCAACATGCCTATTTTTAATGTCAAAATACTATTGTTGATTGCTAATTTTATAGTAGTAGTAATTTATTTGTGTCAGCAAGATTTAGAAGAAGGTTCCATATTTACTAATCAGCAGCCTCAGATGTGGACTACTAGAAGGTCCCATTGGTTCTATTAAGAAATTTCGGTGCCAAAATCCATAAATGCTGAACTGAAATTCCAAATCCAAAGTACCCAAGATCGTCTTTAGGCCGCATCACTATTTGACCCACAAATAATTTTCTGTTCTTTGTTATTTTTTTTTTCTTTCAATATTGTTGGATTTTAAGTGATTATGTGAAAATGGGTTCATCAGGAATGGGAAAAGATTCAAACTTTACTGATGAAGAGAGAAAATCTGAAATGGGTATTACTGCAAAGAATGAGAATAGCAATAAGAAGACAAGGAGAAGAAAAAGGTCTTCTATTTTCCCTAGGTTCGCATGTATGAGATTGGATGATGAAGTTTCAGTTGTTGAGACACCTTCTGGTGAATGTAGTTTTGATGTGGAAGCTACTCAAAATGGTCATGCTCCTCCTCCTCCTCATTTAGTTGTCATGGTTAATGGCCTTATTGGCAGGTGACTTTAAAATCTTGTGCTCATTTTCAACATTCATTCTTTATACATTTTTGAGTTATTTCAATGAATATTGAGGATTTATATAGCCGACCTCAACTAGTTTTGGAAAGAGACATACATGGGCAGAACTAGGTAGAGTGTAAATAGATTAAAAATGATATTTTTCGGTTATATCATTATATGTGAGCTGTTGAATCCCCTTGACATGAAGAAAGAATCAAGTATAGTAGTAAAGTGGGTTCAAAATTGCTTTAGGTCATAGGTTCAAATTTCAACTGTGATATCTTAGAATTTTTTTGAATTCCCTTGTATAAATTTCTGGTTCCGCCACAGGAGACATAGTAGTTACTTTTGTTGTTCCTTTTTTTTTCAATAGTTGTTATAGGTTAATCACTTGTAAATCTAGAAATGTATGTGCTGATTTTTGTTGGTAATTTTAGCTGTTGTGTTGTGATTGTATTATATGATGAGAGATCAGTGTGTTTGGCTTTTAATGGTTTGACATCTCTGCTTGTGCAGTGCAGATGATTGGAGATATGCTGCCAAGCAATTTGTGAAGGCCTATTCACGCGATGTCATTGTTCATTGTAAGCTTCTGTTCTTGACTCAATTCCCTGCTTCTATTTTAATTCTATTTTTTGGTCAGACATCTGGTTGATTGAAGTGATATTGTGGCGTTGAATCTCATTACTTTGGAATAGCAGCTTCTGTTCGATCACATTTATATGTATGATTGACCCCCCCAAAAAAAAGAAGAAGAAAGGCAGTCATATTTCTTTTGTCAGTTAGAGTAAATGAATGTTGATGCAAATAAGTGAAATGCCTCTTTTCTTCTTTTCTCGTTTCCCTGCAACTATAGGAGTAACAGATTAGCATCTTTCTAACTCTAACAACAGGGACAAAGTCGACTGATTACATAAGGTAGTCTATAGCTTAATTTGATACTCATGGCAAGATCCACAATGTTGAAGTTGGATATTTCTTTAAATGAAGAAATAACTGATATTATTAGAACTCCTTTTGTTTCTTCAAAGGAAAGTAAATATAGAGGTCCTTGGAGAGAATTGGATAATTTTAGCTTCGGCATTATACTTCCAAAATTTTATTGGTCATTAGTTTCTGAAAACTATCATGACTTCCAAATTTGCGTTGATTTCATGTTTCACAATCTTTATGCATCTATCTGTCAGTTAGAGCTGTATGTTTTCTGTATTAATTCCAACTATTTCCTAATTAATATTCTATTTCCAGGCAGTGACTCTAATTGTTCGACGTTGACATTCGATGGTGTTGACATAATGGGGACAAGACTAGCTGAAGAGGTGTGTATTGAATCAATTTAAATAAAGCCCTGTTCCTCAACACAAACCGCTCTGTCGCTCTCATTTTATCTGACCAACTTATGTTGTGGGAGTCAAGAACAACCATGATATTGGAAACCAAACTAGGTTAAAAATATTCTTCGTCTTCTTTCCTTCAATGAGTTTCATTGTATCTAGGCCATTGTTTCAGTCCAGTTATTATCCTTATCCTTCTTTCAGATCCTTGTTTCAATGTGATTGACTTCTCCGCCTATATAGACCTTAATTCTGCATTGCTGCATACACTTGAAGCTATCGACCAATTCTTTTATCTTCCAAATATTAGCTCTTGCTAACATACATACCTACCCTTGTTTGTTACTCCCTCCGGTCCATAATCAGTGACTTTTTGGCCAAAGCACAACCCTTAAGAAAATACTAACTCCTAGAGGAAAAAAGGTATTTTGACTAAATTTACCCTTAATTAAAATTTGCATATTATTAACTTGACACATTTGGATATGTAAATAAGGGCAAGTTTTAGAAAAATAAAATTAATTCCTTCTTGATTATGTAAAAAGACACTTATTTTGGACCAAAATAAAAGGGCCAAAAAGTCACTTATTATGGAGCGGAGGGAGTATTACTAAGGAATTTTCCCATTTGTTGTACAATATGGGCTTTGGTATTGTATTAGGATGACATCTAAACTGATTCTTATTGTTCAGGTCTAACATGTAAGTTTGCTTATTTGCTAAAGCAAGATTTACTGCAACTTAAATTTACTGACTTTTGCTTTTTGTACTTAATGTCAGGTATTATCTGTTATAAAGCAGCATCCACATCTACAGAAGATTTCTTTTGTTTGTCACTCCCTGGGTGGCCTGGTATCTAGATATGCAATTGCGAAGCTATATGAACAAGGATCTGCAAGAAGAGCTTGTGGAGAAGAGATGGAATGTAGCCTTAATGGTTCCACTGATTCGTGTGTGGAAGAGGTATCGAAAAGAAAAATTGCAGGGTTGGAACCTGTGAACTTTATAACCTGTGCAACACCACATCTCGGTTGTAGGGGGCACAAACAGGTAACTAGAAGCTTTTTACTCAATCCCCGTCACTTTATTGATCTTCTGTTAAATTCTGATATTATGAGAACTTTGCAATTTTCAGTAAAATACACTGTTAGATAACAGGTCCTTAGCAGCTCAACCCCAACCCAGCCTAAAAAAAGTTAAAAGGAAAAGGAAGAGGAAAAAAAAAATAATTGGGGCAGAGAAAGATAATTCTTCCAAATGAGCTCTGACTTACACTACTAACGAGGAAATTTACCACCAAAAATGCATTCTAGGTTCTCTCGGGGTAGACTTCAAAGAAGATTTTCATTATCATGCATACTGCTTATTCAGACATTCTCTCTTGAGATTAAACTAACTCACGAATGTCTATGACTTTAAGTGGACAGTCCACTCATCTGGAAAAAATGTTATGCAAACTCGTCTAACATGAACATTATTGCATTTTAGCTGCATCAATACTTACGCTTCTTGAAGTTTCATTGAAATCTTGTATGGTTTTGAATATTTTGGTCTAGTTTCATTTTGAAATTTCCTTATCATATAAGTGCACGGTAGTTAGTAGCATGAGTCATCAAGCATCCCAAATAACTATGTTGCTTTAGTTTCATTCTGCTTCTTTCATGTCAATACTTATTACTTATTTCCAAAACGGAGTGGGTGGGGGGGGGGGGGGGGGTTTGGGGACAGGACAACCAACTTCTAACATCTCTTAAAAATATTATAGGCTCCAGCATTCTGTGGGTTATACACACTTGAAAAAGTTGCATCGAGTTCCTCATGGTTACTTGGAAGAAGTGGAAGGCATCTCTTTCTGAAAGATTGTGATGAAGGGAAACCTCCTCTTCTTCTTCGAATGGCCAGTGATTCTGAAGATCTGCCATTTATGTGAGTGATCATTAACTAACTTCAAAACTTTAAGTAAATGTATTATATCTAACTTCAAAACTTTAAGTAAATGTATTATATCTAACTTCAAAACTTTAAGTAAATGTATTATATCTAACTTCTCCTTGCAGATCTGCTTTGCAGTCATTTAAGCGTCGTGTGGCCTACGCAAATACAAGTTTTGACTGTATCCTCCTGAACCTCGTCATTCTCCGTTTCCTCTTCTCTTTCTTATTTCTTTAATCTTCAGTGTATTATATATCTAGAATCAGGTGTCCATGACTTGATTCCATGATGAGATAATTCAACAGTGGGTAAGTACTTATGCTGATAAGTGTAACCCTAATCCCATCAGTTGACTAATTCCCGTAATGCAAAAACCTTGACACTTGTATAGATCTTGTTGGGTGGAGTACATCATCTTTGCGGCGCAGAAATGAGCTTCCAAAGGTAAAGTTATATGACATTTGAGTTTTAGTAGCAAAAGCTTGCATCACACAACTAATACTTCTCTTTTCAGCGTCGAAACTTGAAAAAAGGGGATAAATACCCACATATTGTAAATGTAGATGAGGCAACAAGTGTTAGTAATCAAGAAGAAACACCTACTGAGGCCAAAATAAATGGACGCAAGTCTAACGAAATGGAAGGTCAGTGTCTTTTTTTTTCTTTTTATGATATGAGGAGCAATTTTAAGTATGTTAGCCTTCACTTTCGGAAACTCATACCTTCATTATCCTAACATGGGGGGTGTATGGCCATTGATTCTGCATATTAGTTGCATCTTCGATGTATACGGTCTTCTAGTGCTTTTTTAAGAAAGTCTAAACTCAAACGCATCAAACTAGTGCCAGCTAATTGAAAAGAGAGCATGGGACTACTTCACACACTAATTCCTGTATTTTACATATAATCCCACCTTCGGACTTCAGCTACTTGTCTCAACTGTATAAACGGTAGAATTTACCACTTCCTTTAAGTAACTAGGGAATCTCAATGCACATCACATGGTTTTTCCGCTTTCAGCGTTTTTATGATTAGCTTGATCATCCTTTTTTATTGTTTACCTTTTCTTCATGGTTAACTGCTGCAGAGGCAATGATCAGAGGTTTAACAAGGTTGAGCTGGGAACGAGTTGATGTTAGCTTCAAAGGAAGTAAACAAAGATACTTTGCACACACAACAATTCAGGCACGTATTTGTTCTGTCTTGAACATACTATGAGGAGTTTCTACTTACGATGTTTCTTCATGATAAATCATCATGCATTTTCACTATATACCATTCTCTTATGACCTAGGCAAATTCATTTTTCATACCTATTTACTCAGGGATTTTTGTTTCATGTTTACGTGTTTGCATTCACTTATTTATCTTGATGCTTTTGCTTCTTTTCTTTTTTTCCCCGGAAAGCTCATAAAAAATCCACCTTTCTCTCATATTTTGGTATAAATCAAGATATGATCATAAATTTGCATGGGGTGATTGATGGATTGTTAAAGCATACTATAGTAATGTAGACAATAATGAAGGTGACAAAGAACGGAAAATTAGATTTAAACGGGTAACTAGGGTTATAATCTGTCAAGGACACTACAACAAATTATGTGTCAATCCCGAGCTAGTTGGGGCATATGAATCTTCACTATCCATTTTGTTTCATTTGAACCAAAGGTCTTAACTGATCCCAAAAAGAAATCTACAGAAATCATGGTCATCTTGAACTATTTGTTTTCAACAAACAGAAGTAAATTTGGTAGTTTTGTGATTTTCTTTCTTGAGGTTCTTCAAATCAAAACTCTACGTTAATATGACGAGAAACAGAGAAGAGAGGAGGGGGTCTAAGAAAGAAAATATCGGTCTTTATGGAAAGTATAGTACATCAAGCGTCCTGCTTTTAGATGTATATCCCAAGCATTAGGACTGTCGAGTTCTCAAGTCACACATAGATCCATTGCCTTTTATCTCTGAACTTACAAAAACTCCGCCTTTTGTCTTGAAGTCTTTCACCTAAAAAAAGTGCTGCATTTTAGGCCAAAGATTTTTCGTTTGGTCCTGTCTTTTGTGCTTCGTTTCGCAGGAAGGTTATCTACAGTAGCAAGTCTTTTAATTTCCTTTGTTCTGCAATTTCAGGTAACGAATTATTGCTTTAATTCTGATGGAGCAGATGTTATACAACACATGATCGACAATTTTGCTGTATAGAAGTAGGGAAGTTGCTGTATTTAAAACACCATATTGGGTGGAGGCCTGTGTAATTTACAGAGCCTGCTGCATAAATTGTAGAGGGATACATGCATATGAATTCGATATATAGAGATGATACGTCAAAGTTCAAGTTAGGTGTATCATTGTTATAGAACAACAACAACAACAAACCCAGTGTAATCTCACAAGTGGGGTTTGGGGAGGATAGTGTGTATGCAAATGGAAAGGGAGAGGGATTGTTTCCAATAAACCTTCGGTTCAATGAAAGATGAAAAAAAGATCATTGTTATTAGAGCATATAGAGCAAATTATTTGTATAGTTTTTGGGCTCCAATTTGGACATGTAGTTCATGCAGTTACCTCTCTTCAAATGTAATGATAATGTGTACTTCCTCTATTCAATATAAATAAATGATGTGATTCAAAGAATGAGGGTTGACTTCTTTATCTTCACTTTGATCTTGGACATTGATTGTTAAAAGTACAATATTTCATTCCTTTAAAAAGTATTTAAAAGACAGCTATATATTTTAGACGAACGGGATCCTTGGCGTAACTGATAAAGTTGCTGCATACATCCTTGACTATATAGTTCGAGTCGTGGAAACAGCCTCTTGCGGTGCAAGGTAAAACTGCACACAATGGACCCTTGTGGTCCGACCCTTTCCCCAACTCTGCGCATAGCAGGAGTTTAGTGCACCGAGCTGGCCTATATATTTTAGATGTTGAATTCTCTTAATTATCGTTTTTCTTTTTCTTGAATCCATTTTGCGAAATTCTGCCTCCACTGCTACGGCATTACCCCATCTCCCAAATTGAAAAACAAAAATAGAGGAAAGAAAGGTCCTTTAATTGAAGTGTAGGTTAATGCAAGTCCAGTTTGGCCAAGTCCAACAGTAGCAAAAAAGCTGATAATAAAGCAGGTAACCTAAAATCAGGTTCAGGTAAGATTTGGTCCCTACTTGCTGACTACTGTCCTTAATGCATGATGTACTACGCACATAAGCAGCTCAGTTTTTCACTCACCTGCTTTTCAAAAATTTATTTACTGCTGGTCCTTTCCTCCTGCCAAAATAATAACTGAGACTTTTTGTTAACAAAACCAGTTACTCCTATTAGTATTTCATTTGCAAATATACGTGGGGCGCATGTTTTATTTGGTGAAAGTTTCTCTGAAATTTACGAAGTTCCTAATTGGGTAATAGAAAGCAGAAAAACAATTCTAAGACCAGCCATATATGTAACACTTTACAGCTATTATAACCTACAAAGACAAACCTTTGCGTGCTCAAACTAAAGCCAACTGTTCACTGTAATATGTGACATACAGTGTTTTAAAGAGAGTGAGTAGTAGTTTTGTATGTCAAAATATGATTGCTCTTATCTGCCACTTTCATTATTATCACTTTGAAAACTGAGTTGCTTCTTCGCTTGCCTTACATGATCTTTTGATCAAACAGTAGGTTTTCAAGATTTGCCACTTATTCTTCTTTATTGTCAATAATACAGTGCAATGTCTAGTAGTACAATTTAAAGTTGAAAAATTGAACCGGATGTTATTTACCTAAAAGTTTAATAGCAACAACAATAGCCCAATATGATTTCACAAGTGGGATCTGGGAAGGATAATGTGTACGCAAATCTTATCTCTACCCTGAAAATAAAGAGGTTGTTTTCAATAGACCCTCGGCTCAAGAAGCTAAAAAGAACTAAAAGTTCAATAGCAAATTAAACTACACAAATTACTGTTGAGCAGAGAAAAAAGGTCTTGCGAAAAGAACATTAAAAGCGAAAGAAGCAAGAAGGTCGATCTCTTCCAAGTATAAGAGAGAAATTATTTCTGATAGGCCCTTCGCTTATTAAAAGTACTTATTAAAAATAAGTAATGTTATTATTCTTGTACCTCTTCCTATAAGAAGGTATTTGTCCACGAAATGAAAATATTCCAAATCTTTTATTTTTTACTTTGAAGAGTTTGACTTGGCAAAATGTGATTGAGGGTGTGATATGACCAAGTATAGTACGAAATAAAGTTGAGTAGTAGTAGCATCATACAACAGTTTTTGCGTGGATTTGGAGGTAACCTTTCTCATCATATTCAGGGCTCGTGCAGATTCCACCATTGCCTAAATAACACCCTATATGCACCTACTTTCCTAAAATCCTTATCTTTCTTGGAAATTAAATACTACTAGTTCAAGAAACAGTAAAAAAATAAAAATAAAGACAGAGTGATATAACGTGTTAAAGTTGAATTGCTCAAAAACTAAACAAACCAAAACAGTAACAAGAGGGGGGGGGGGGGGTGGAGGGGGTGATATTTACAAATGAGAGGGGGACAAAGTGAGTGAGAATGAAAGAAAATGAAAGACCATATACTATACCAGTGAATTCACTTGTCCCCTTGTGGAAAAAGCTTTTCTTATTACCTGCCCTCCTCTTTTTTATGACTGCTCAAATCCATTATTGTTCTATTAACTGTATTATTATTATTATTATTATTATTATTATTATTATTATTATTATTGTTTCTACCCTTTCTCCTCCTTCATTTTTTGTAACAACTTCTTCAGTCTTAATTACCTCTATTTCTCTGCCACCAAAACAATTCTTGGAATTTCTGAAAGGCTCTTAATACGAGGTTTTAGGTCATTCCCTTTTCAGGGATTTTCCTCTACTTCTTTTTTAATAGTACCATTTTCCATCAGTGTACTAGTAAAAAGAATGTGTTTTCTCTTCTCTTCTTAAGCATTATGGGATTGAGTTTTCATTCATTCTTTCATCAACTTTTGTCAATTATTCTCACTTTCTCATCTTAAGATACCAAAACCTACACTCTCTTATCCAATGGCATGCTCTCAGCTTTTTGTATTTTGCCATAGAAATTTGCAGACAATCGTCTTTTTACTACTTCTATTCATTTCAGGCTTGACACATGTTAAATTCATGGCTGAAGGTAAGATGGTCATTCCTAGATTTTGTTCAAGATTTTAAATCTTTTACATTCAGGATCTTTACACAAATAGCTGGTTATATTCATTATTAACTTTTCCTAGCTGGTATACACTGATTATTTATACATATTTTATATATTCAGTGGCTGTTTTAAGTTTTAGCGGTTGAGTGGACGCCTGTTTCGGTTAATTCTTTCTATACATTCTGTTAGTCACAATTCTATAAAGAAACTAAGAATTCTAAATGAGAATTTCTCCATCTTTAATCATTTTGCAGGTAGGACAATTCTCAAGCTGCAAACTGGGATTAATCAGGTAAGTTCTTGATCCAAAAAGCCTGGGTTTTCTTTTCACTTTGAATAGGGGAATTGATGAGAAATTGTGGTCATATTTGTAAAAAAAACAGAGGAAAAATGAAGAGAAGATGTTAAAGGTGAGATCTTTAATAGGTTCAATGCCACCAAGATGTGAAGGAAGATGTAGAAAGTGTGGACCATGTGAAGCAGTTCAAGTCCCAATTGTGCCAAACCTCAAACACCAGCAATTAAGAAGCCATCAGTTTAATGCATTCCCTAAATTCTTAGCATATTCAAGAGGTGATGGTATCTCCAATTACAAACCTATGTGTTGGAAATGTAAATGTGGCAACTTTATCCTCAATCCTTGACATAGCTAGCAAAAGAATAGATCCTCTTTTTTTTTTTTTTTTTTTTTGTGTATGGAGAAAATAAGTTTCTCTTGAACTGTCTATATACATAAATATCAGTTAGCTAGTTTCTGCAGAATGAAGATTGCTCATAATGCATAGGATTTTGTATATCTTCTTACTACTGTTGTAGCACTTTCTTTTCCTTCTGATACAAAAAACTTTTAATTTAGGAAGTGAGTGAGCTAATCCTGAGATAAAATAAATTGTGGTATAATTGATGTCGGCTAACTAATTCCGGCGGGATTGTAGTGTAATAATTAATTATGGTTATAACTACAAGCAAACGACCCCTAAGAGTGCAGTTTAGGATTGCTCTAGTGTAGTAGTGTGATGTGAGTGTGACGACAGTAAGTAAGAGGGGGATTTGGTTTAAAAAAGCAAAGGAGAGTGGGGCGGGTGATGAGGCATGTCAGCTGCACAGGTAGGGGAGAGGGGACCTGTGTTTCGTATCTTGCAGGATTTTTTGTGTATCTCTAAAGCAAAGAGGGGTTGGGTTGGTTTTCTTTCCCTACACCAATGGGCCTCGATTCTCTAAATCCCTATGGAAGGAAAGGCCACACTGCACACTCTCCTTTGCTGCATGTGTCTCTCTGCCCACCCTCCTTTGTCCTATGTATTACTATCATTAGTATTTATTTTTTTGTATAATTTTTGTCTTGAAAATAATAATAATGTATAAGTATGTTTTATACCGTGTACAACACTTATTATTTTTTAAATTTCTACTACTACTACTACGTGTTCCTTAATTCATAAACTATCTGTTTCTCCTTTGAATCAACATGAAGTATCAGCTAACTTCCTTTCTTATGTGTGTGTAAAAGCCAGAAATCTGGTATATGAGGAAATGTGCAATTCACAAATTTCTTACCATAAAAACACGAAAATATACTTGAATGATGTGGAAGTGCACAAACATCGATTCTTAGGGCTGCTATTTAGGGCTAGTACTTATTGTGTCCCTAAAAATTAAAATTCAGTACATATTGGCTAATTCGTAATTAACTCCCTTTTCGCGTGGGAGGGTGTTTGGCTAAGCTTATAAGCTGGTCAAACTGGCTTATAAGTACTTTTTGGCTTATCTACGCGTTTGGTAAAATTAAAAGTGCTTATAAGCCAAAAGCCATAAGTTGGTCTCCCCCAACTTATCAAATTTCAGCTTATAAGCACTTTAGGATTGACTAAAATATTTACTATTCTATCACTAAAATACTTCTTTGTAGAACAAAACTCTTCGTATACCCAGTTCTTCAGCTGTTTATTATTAATTTCAGCACTCTTATCCAAAAACGTAACTGCTTATTTTTTAAATCAGTTTCAGCACTTAAAAGTACTTTTCAGCACCTAATGCTTATCAGCTAATCTAGATCAGCTAAGCCAAACGGGCTCCTACTGTCATGTCTACTTGAGCGACTCTGTTTAGTTTGTCTATGAACTGACGGGCCATTTAGTCCAGGTTAGATTCTGATTTTAACGCAAATAGCGGGCCAGATTTACTGTTTACTTTTTCTAACCGGTATACATAATGTATATACTAATTATACACATACAATACATGAATTATACGTATATTATATATTCTTCGACTATTTTTAGAGTAACTGATTAGGTGGACGGCTATTTAGGTTTATTCTTCAATTAATTAGGAATATTGTTGCTCATCAACAGAAGCCCAGAAATAAAAAGGGTTGGGCCCAGGACCGAAAATACGTTTCATCTTCAGTCTTCGCTATTGCAACTGTTTCAATTTTGTAGGAGGACTAAAATTCCAAATTTGAGTAAATTTGAAGTTAAAAATGCCAACAAATGAAGAGAAAAATGATGGGCATATTTCACATGGAGTTAAGGCTCTCTCACATCAATAACTTATACTGAGAGGCCCCTTTCTTTCTGCTTCCACAGTTCCAGCCCAGAGCCCACCTGTGTGCCTCTGCTCTTGTTCCCTGGGGCATCTTATACATCAAATATTAGATTAACTGTTGATTTATATGATTGTCTCCAATATATTGTGTAAGAGAAGAGTTTATAAAGATCTCATGTCATTTTGCTTATTGGTTTAAGAGTTTAATTCAGTGTCAACATTTGTTAAATTTATACTCACACTTGTTAAAGCTCATTCTTTGCAATTATTTTAATGTGTTAACCCCTAACAAATTATACGTACCACGAGCTCTCTATTTTGCTCATGGTGACTCGAATCCATAATCTCAGGGTCAGGGTCGAAGGTGGAGGATATTTACTAATTAAGCAACCATGTCTTGTCGAATTATATGTATTTGATCGTTAAGAAGTGTTGAATTATATGTTGTTCCACTAGCTTTGGAAGAGGTTATGAAGATTTTGTATGATATCGCTCACCGTTTTACGATTTTAGTTTAAGTTGTCAGATTTTTAAAATTACTCAAGTAAACTTCAGAAATTGATCAAAATAATTTGTTCTAACAACAAGTTCATTACTCTAATCTCTGTCGCATTACATTAGAAATCTACAACTTAGATAATCGAATAACCTTTTATTTGACTGTAAACTCTTTCTTAAATATTTAGTTGTAAATTTCTGCTCTTTATATATAGTTTCTCAAAGCTGAATCACAATGATGTTTAGAACACGCGTACTTCTTACCGTCACTCTTTAGTATAATGAGATTCTTTTGGAAAGAAAAAGCATTAAGAGTGAAAATGATTCTAAAAATTAGTAGTACTAAATATAGGGGCTCAACAGTCAATGTATCTTTGACTCAATTGCTGGACCTCATTAAATTCCTCCCACCGACACAATCCACATAACTTTAAAATACCAACACAAATGCACCACATGTACCTAATTGTGATTTCCAAATAAAGTGGCTTTTTCTTCTCACAAGTCACACCTCATCTCTACAACTTGACACTCGCCAGTTGCTTTACTCTACTGGTAAGTTCAAATAGTATACTTATACTAATTTGTTTTTATCCTAACACACAGATTGTATTTTTTTTTTAACTACAAATTGGTAAAACATGGAGGAATAGCAGTGTTGTGAATAGTGAACATGTTGAAGCAATCATCAAGTAGGAATCTGAGGACAAAAGGGTTTAAACTAAAGCATGTTTTTCAAGCATTTGTACTGCTTTTGATCTGCTTCTGGTTGATTTACCAAGTAAAGAAATCTTACAGCAGGAGCAAACTGGGGTTAGTGGAGAATTTGGAAGAAAAATCAGTTGAAGAACAAGAAGTGTTGAAGTTGAAGTTAGGGAGAAAGGATCTGAATCCTTTGCTGTTAGATGAGTTAGCTGCTGAGTTTCAGAAAACCCCAGATGAAGATCTTGAACAGGAAGAAGATGAGGGGAAAAACCAAGACAACGAAGGAGAAATAGCTAGTAATGATGGAGATGATGGAGTTGGAGAGCATGAACCATTGGAAGAAATAATACTTAGATGAAGATGATAAAGATGCAAGAAGAAGGAGGGATGCAGTCTAAAAAGCTGTAGTGTCAAAAGGAAATGCACAGCAGCATAGGCAATTTAACTAGTGCATGCTATAGTATAACTTGCTGTTTTTTCCAAAATCCAGTAGTATAAGATACTATCAGATTAGAGAAAAATGTTTTTGTTAAGAGTATTTTTAAGGATTTCAACCTAAAACATGGAGAATGCGAGGATTGCTTATATGTAATTGTAATTGTATTTAGGTACGTAGATGGATTAATTTTGGACGAATCCTAGTTCTTACTGGCGTTATAATGATCTGTAGGAGAGGTGCATATATTCTATCAATGGTTTTCTACAAATATTTGCTTTCTACAAAGCTGTGTAGTTGTGACAGTATGATGTTTTGCCCAGATTCAAGCATTCAAACAGCATATTATCGAAATAGACAGACAACTGCTTTTACTTTCTGCTTATTTCAATCCATAAACAAGTTTCTGCACTGTAAATATGAATCATTCAGTAAAAGATTTCACTGGTGAAAAGCATAAACTATCGCCAGGTATACTACGAGATAAAGTTGATAATCAACCAAAGAGAAAAGTTATACAGAAACGAGGATGGACCATGTAAATAATATAGTAGTAGAAAAAAGTTTTTTGACATTCCATGTTTTGAAAAATATTCCAAAAAATCCGTAGACAAAGTCTAGACACACGAAATCCGTCGCATTGCTCCAAAAGCCAATCAGAAGAAAAGCTGGCATTGAGAAATACAATGAGAAAATTGAGGCCAAGAAGTTTAATGAAAGATTCTTTCATAGCCAACCAGAAAAGCATGTTCCGCCACCTAAAACTCTGCCTTAAATTACAGCAGCAAAGGCATAGGCCAAAAGGGATAACGTCCGAAAAATCTGCTTCAAACCACTGCTATTGATTCACTTTTATGGACTCTTAGTTTTAATCTGTTGGTGTGCATTCCACTGCAACGACATCCACACTATAGATGTGCCTGAGAGAAAATGGAACTCCATAAGACAGTCAAAAGTGGTGTATGACTTGGAGTAATTGCAAAGAAAGGAAAGAAAGTGCTGATGCAGAAAGATAATGCCACTGATGCAGCTCTTCTTTTGAGTAACATCCACATTATCAGAACTTTCTTATTATAGTGAACCACAAACATAGGCTAGAAGTTCAGAAGTTGACAACTAATTGAACCCTTCATTAGAAACATTATAAAGATTTGCTTCATCATCTCCTTCTTTTTAAAAGTAACTAACATCTTTAGGTAGTAAATTGGGCTTAAACAGCCAGTACTCCATCCAAAAGATAGGTTTTAATGCATAAGAAGAGCAAGTTGCAGGAGTTCAATTAGGGCAATTAAAAAGTTCACAAGGAAGAAACACGAGAAGTTTGACAGATTTTTTTTCAGACAAGTTAGGAACACAAGCAGGTCTTCAAATCATTAAGATGGGGATGCAGTGACCATGTTAATAGATGCTACACAGAAACTCTAAATCACATGGTACTTGGTGAATTAAGGATGAATCACAGGTTATATCATTTGAAAGCAGTTCTTGCATTTTGAAAGCACTAGTTAAGTAATCCAATTTTCACTTCCACCGTTTTAAAAGCAGATCAAAGCTAGTGATGAAGGGGAAACACGGAAAAACATTACAAGATCTAGTAGCACTCATAAAAATAAAAACTCTTGGAGGAACAGTACCTGCAAATATACCAACAGTAACCAGATTTTTTATTTCCATTGTCTGATAGATCAAGAACTCTGTCAAGAAATGACCGAAGGCATAGACGAATGATAACAAGGTTGCCAAATACAAAGGCCTGTCATGAAGGTTAAATGCACAAAGATAGCAAAGAGTGCAGGTTAGAAGAGTCCACACTCCAAATGTCCTCCCATGAACTTCTGACACTGCATATGATAAATAAAAAAGGAAAGTTTTCAGTAGAGACATATCAGATTTAGGACAAGACCTTGAAAAGAACCAAGTTGACACATTAAATTACAGGACTTTGGAATACTAGAAAAAGAAAAGAGCCATGTAGTGCATGGTTATTCCAATGCAGTCACAAGTAAAACCTCATCGCTAGTCAAGCTTAAGATACATGTATAGAGTTGAGCTTAAAAAGTCAATGTTCTTAAAAGTTATTCATGAAGTTGAGCACCAAACGTAATTAATCAAATGTGTTACTACTGACTGCAGTACCAGTAACTTCTTTTGATCGGTGAATGCACTACCAGTAACTTAAGGTTCTATTTTCATGACAAAAGCTACTCCATACATTAACAAGTTGTAATCACCAAATTCCCACATTGCCATCCCACATCATTCCCAATAAATTCAAGCCAGACAGGAAACATAATAGTGTCACACTTACTGGACAATACATAGTATTTATAGGTGCATTGGAGCGAAACAAGTAGTGCCAACAACACTATTGCAATCTATCAAGATGAACAAATTCTCAAATTTAATCAACTCCAGCTGAGTTGCAAAATATCACAAAATAACCCAAATGGGATGACATGAAGATATGTAACTTGCACAGACGAAACGAGAACTTTTTAAGAATTCTTTTGAGCTGCAATTGTTGGATAAATACTTATTTTATGAAAGGATAGCACTATGTGGAGAGTTTGGAGGTACCTATAATACACATTTGTGACAGTACAAAAATCTGATAAAGGGAGCAGTTTTACCTTTTTAAATAGACATGCAGAATTACAAGTCAATGTTAAGAGACATATAAAAGAAGTGCTACAAATACTGCAAGAGATAATTATATTTTCATAGGTTCCTAACTTTAAGAGCTAAATCCAAGCCACAGAAGCTTCTGACAATCAACTTCTCTTAAACAAATTATGCTAACAGATTTCCAAATAAGGTATCAGAAATGATTCTTGTGCAATTCCTTATCAAAAAGAAAACTGATTCTTTCCCAGTTCTACGCAATGTTAGTGCTCAAGTAGAAATAATTAGCCTCTTTTGGGAAAACCTTATTATCCTCATACTTCATTCAAATCGGTAGATTGAAAAATCTGAGCACCTGGTGATATCACATTCTCACATCATGAATTACCGAGTGTAGATCTGTAGGTATGATCAAAGGCGGATCCAGGATTTAAACTCTACGGGTTCAAGTTTTAAGGTTTTTAGAATTGACCCATTATATTTATTATGTTATGGGTTCATTACTACTATTTTTGTAATTTTAATGAATTTTTGTACATAAATTTTTACTCTGCGTAAAATTATGGGTTCAATTGAATCCATAACTAGCACACTACATCCGCCCCTGGGTATGATTATTTTTACCGTTTCAACTGACTTTGTTTAAGTGTAGGAATTGTCTTGTTTTAAAACTGACTAGTTAAATGGTAAACGCCTTTTTGTTTGCAATAGGATATCCATAAATAGGTTAAATTTTTATTAGTTTATAATTATTGTATCAACATGTTGAATAGATTGATCTAGTAACCAGTTATAAGGAGGTATTATAAATCACAATGTAATGCCATCTAAAATGCACAAATATTCCATCCTTAACAAGGAGAAGAGCTCAATCTGATTCTTGAAATCGTTCTCTTTACTAGCATCCACATTTTGTTTTTAATCAGTCATATGTGGATTTCAAATAATAGTCACTAAACCGAGAGCACTAAAGCAAAAATCTGGTTATACTTATCCGAATAGGAGAATTCATTATAGTCTTAAATCAAGAGAATGTGAAATGTGGACTTAGTAATCCTTGGATGTAAAGAATGCGAAAAATTTAAGCTAGTTTAATAAGTACCTGGTAAGCAACAAAAGTGCATTGGATCCACAGATTTCAAACCCATAAATCCAATCAAATCTATTGCCTATAAAATCATGCCAAACACATCAAAGTCAAAAGCCAAGTCTTAAGCCCCATTGACATAATGTATTATTTCTTTTACTCATTATTATCAATTTATCACCATTTCAACCCTATGGAGTAGCAAATCAATCCAACAGTACATTGTCCCTTATTCCTTTTACCAATCAAAATGAAATGCGTCTGGTCTAGGGGCAGATCCAAAGTATCAACAGTGCATGTCTCAAAACCCACCACCTTCACTTTACCGGTACCTGTGCTGGTGGGAGGTAGCAGGTACCTGGTGGTATAGTCGAGGTGCGTGCAAGTTAGCCCCAACATCGCCATCATAAAAAAAAGTCTCTGCATGTGTCCGTGTCTGTGTTGACAGTGTGCACGAGCTTACACTGAGTATTGTAGCTCGGATTCGAATATAATTCATACTAAATTTGCATCTACAACCACGAAGTAGTAATAGCTTAAAATTATGATATCAGTCTGATCCTTATATGATTTTAATTAGACAAAGCTGCCATAAGTTGCTATATGTAATCATCCTAGGTGATGGAATAAAATTACCAAAAAGGACAATATTTGAGTGACAAATCACAGAACACAAGGCGAAAGTGAGGGGATTTGATGTGTACTGGAATAATATTGGATTGCTTCCTATTACAGATTCAAATCAGATCGCGAGAATTAGACAAAAGCCAAAATGTGCGTGCAATGCTCGTTCTCCAACGGCGAAATGTAGAACACGAAGCGTGATCTAAGTCAAAAGTGAGTGTAAAACTTACTGGTCGTTTTGGAGAAAACAGCGAGACGAAGAGCCCAAATGTCGAAGAAACCGAACCATACCGATGCAAGGCGAAGTGTGCCCACTAGCATCAACCACCATCCTAACAGCTTCATCTCTCTCACTTTCTCTCTCTCTCACACAGACACACACTTACTTTTTCTGTTTTCTCCCTCTGTTTCCATTTTTCAACCACTAAATAGTAAGGGCCCGATAAACAAGCCCATTGACCCAAATGAACTCATTTTGGCCCATAAGTCTCTATTCTCTTGCACCAATACACAAAAAATATGTACTTTGTACACACTGATTGTGTATGTATATATATATATATATATATATATATATATATATATATATATATATATAAAAAAATTATATATTTTTTTCGACTATTTATTTTATATATAATTTTTCCCTTTTAATTTGAATAAAAGAAAGTCTTATGTATTATTTTATGGATGTTTCATGAAAATGGACACATAATTAAAATGATATTTGTAATGGAAAAGCTATTAGCCGGAGACCATTAGAACAATCTGCAGGATTATACTTATGACTTTTGAAGCATTGAATTATTTTTCTATGGTGGATAATATTGAGAGGTTACATGATATTTGTAAGTAAAAGGATGCTAAAAATGAAAATTGAAGTAAGAAAACTTTTGTTATCAAGAACCTATCTCAAAGCTGATTAAAAGTATCCCATTGGCATTATCTTAGTATTAGACTTGGCATTATCTTACTTAGTTATTACTTGGTTTTAGAAAAAACAACTTAACAAATATAGTCTATGATTTGTGAACATATTTTGGGACTCCTAATTTAATATTCACATTAGACTTCAAATAACTTCATTCAATTTACAGAACTTGAATAGACATACGTCTTTATAATGCCTAGCTGGTCTGGCTAACGATCTCATTGACAACATTAAATATGTAAGTTGTGAATTTTTATCTCATTAAATAGAATGATTTATATACCACTAGTGTACATGGTACCTTGTGTGTGTGGTTGGGGGGGAGGGGGGGGGGGGGTAACCAATACTATCCAAATTATTTCGGTCGAAAAGTGAAGTTCTGACCAATGACAATTTGATCTAAGAGTTTATTTAGTATATTTTTGGCATTTAAAAAAAAAGAAAAAAAAACAGAAACATTGTTATGAACCAGTCTCAGCCCAATGTGGATACCTGCAAACAAGCAGCTATTGGGCCGAGAAATAGGACCAAAAGACCTTCACAAAGATTGAGTTGGGATCCAGGCCCAATTAGCAACTATTTAAAAAGGACTAGCGGGTAGAACGAAGGGGTATGTGAATTATGTTGAAGCCTCGGCTCAGTCTGTTCTTCCCATCTCCTCTGCTGAACCTGTTTCTCATCCCCTTTCTTCTTAGCTTTAGGTTGCAATTTCTCTTCTCATCTACTCTCTATTTCCTTTAGTGTTGTTTTTTACTATTGTATTGCTATTTGGTTATTGTAGTTCTGTTTATTTAGTTAATATAATCAGTTGGTTTGGATGTAATATCGAGTTTATTACATTGGTGCTTTCATCCAGAGGTCTGCAATGGAGGACCAAATATGTCGAACTAACGATCCAATTAAGGTCATGATGGCTGAAATTCGTACACTGTTACGTGAGTTGGTGGGAAACGTTGAAACGAGCAAGCCTACTCGGCTGGAATTCCGACGATTCTGTGGCGAGAATCCAGAATTATGGACTTCTCAGGCTGAACGATACTTTAAATTCTATGAAATTTCAGAAAATACCAAGTTACTTCTCGCCTCGTCCTATCTCGATGGAGAAGCTTTGAAGTGGTACCAATGGATTTTCCGAAACAAACAATTGGCGAATTGGGAACATTTTACTGAGAAAGTGTTGATTCGCTTTCGTAAACGGCGTCTCGAGCCATCGAAAGGTCAGTTGGTTGCAATCAGGGAATATTCCACAAAGATCAACGCCCAGATGTTCGACAAAATGTCATATGGCTGTTGTTCCAAGGTGTTTGATACTGATCAATCAGATGTTAAAGTCATTAGTGATACAACGACATCGACTTTGAACATTGCAAAATCAGAGGGGGTCCATGTGTTTGATGGAAGCTCTGATAGGAGCAAATCTGAATCAGTATCCACTTTTGAAATTGGACAATCAGTGGATGACAACTCTTCCATCACAACAGCTAGCCCAAGCATTCTCGATCCTCTGATTCGTATGGGTGATGTAGAAAATTCAACCACGACCGTTGACAAGGTGATCAATGATAATTTTCGCGAGAGTGATAGCTTACTCCAACCTAGCTGTGATGCCTTGCAAACTGAGGTGACTGCTGCAACATTCGACAATACTATCGGTATTTCTTTGGACTTTGTTCCCATGACTTCCTTAGTGGTTTCAATTGGTTATAGTCAGCATGTAACTCCATCGTTGGTATCTAAACATGAGGAAGAGGGAAATGCGCGAAACAATGTAGCTCGGGAGTTTGAAAATTCTCTCTAGAGGATAAAACAGGTTATCGGATTCCTTTTGCTAGTCAAGGATCTGTCGTGTCAAATGCTATTGGGAGATTTGTTGGAATAGCATATCCATTTATTGGGGCTTCTCAAAATATATTGTGGCTTCACTATGATTTTGGCTTACACAAATACAATTAGGTTGCTACTGGACAACATGATTCCCTGTTATTGACTGCAAAACGAAGAAAGGGCTATCATATATATTCAGAGCATAACACTGATGCAAGCGATACTGGCTTACCAATTTGTAGTTATGTGGACAAGTGGTTTGACACTGGACAGGAATTTAAGGTTGCTTCAGGTAGAGTTGAAATAGGTGTTGAACACAGTGGTAGAGTTATCAATTCTTGTGCAATATACACTATGGGGAGAGTCTATAGCAAATTTATTTGTATGTTCTTTTGATGATGCTATTACTCAAATTGAGGACGAATACCTAATTGATCAGCTGAGGTCTTTTTTGAATGGAAGGGCTCTTGAGCTAAGTGAGTTATACCAAGCTTTAACTTTCACAATGGCACTTTGGGTTAATGAAATTGTTATCATTAGAGATGAACCTCTACAGGGTGTTGCTGCATTTACAAGGAAGCCTCCATTAGGGATTAATTCTACATTCTCTATTCCTTGTGACATGGCCATGTTTGATATTCACGGAAAGATGATGTTGAATGCAAGTATGAGAACTACTGAAGTTGAATATCCATTTGATGGTGCCTTATGTCTTCGCACAATTCCATTTTTGCGTAATTTCCCTGAAGTAATTCTTGTGGGTAAACAAAATGGAGTGTCGCTTTCTCTTGAATTCAGTTAATACAACTGTAATTGGGTTGACATGGGGCAGGAGCGCAATCTTTTTGAATTCTGGTTATCTAAATCAAGAAAGCGTGCTATGGAGAAGAAAATGCGGGGAATGCTTCGGGCACTTGCTGAAGATTACTCCAAGCAGTATATTGTCTTTGATCTTGGTCCTTATCTTGATTATGCCGCACCCAATATAGTGGAATCTACTTTTGAAGATGGAAAATCTGCAGAGGTGGGCGCTTTGAAAGTACGATTTGCACTTCTACATTAGAAGTTTCGTATTGGTCAAGTACTTCCTCTGCAAAGTGGTATCACTTTAGATGATTGCCATAGATTTAAGACTTATGACTGTTGTCATATAGGGGCATGCACATATTACCATTTGGAGTCTTATGCTGTACTATCGATTGTTCCATTTTGTATTTCTTTGGACAATTTGCTCGACACTGGGCAGAATAATTTAGGTTGTGCGTCTATTGTGAAAGAACATCTAAGTATTACATCAGATGCAGTAGAAATGTTGGAAGGAGTTTTTAAAAGAATTAGAGGTTTAATTGCAAATTTTTATGATTACGGGTGTGTAGGTGGAGTTGACATGGGTATCGAAAGTTATGGTACTCTTAATACTTCATGTACAACTTACAAGTTACTAGGAGGCCTATAGAGAATTCATTGATGTGTCTTTTTGAGGGTGTTACTACTCAACTTATGGAGCAATTCAATGCACCAGTGGGACAATATGATATATGTGCTTATAGGGACTGCAACGTTCTTTTTTTTTTTTCTCTTGGACGTGTCAATTTATTGGGTCGACTAAAGAGTTCAAGGAAGGTTTCTTTCGTTGTCGTCCATTATGCTGATAAAATGGAGACTATTATTTGGCTGCTTCACATTTGTTTGAGTACTTTTTTAGAGGATTGTGTGATCTGCAACCAAGTTCATGAGTCTTACTGTCAACGAGTATATGTCACCAAATCTCATGCTTTGTGTGCTTCACGAGCTATGGCAGAGAAGAGTATGCTAGCCAAAGTAGGACAAGTGATGGATTCATACTTTAGTGCCTTAGAATCTGATGTATCTATGAATTATAGAGCATTTCTTAGCTGGTTTACTATGTTGAAAATGCTAAATGACACATTTCTTTGGTCAAATTACATCTACAAGGGTGTTTCAGGAGGTTTGTCGCTACGAGGCATGAGAAACTTGACCAAGGGTCTTCTAGAATTCAAGCTGTCTATAATTTGCGGAGTTCTAAGAGTTTATGACAGCATATGCTTAAGGGTTTTGGATAAAATTGCAGTTGAAGGCTCATTGAAAAAGTTGCTTTTCCAGCTTGCATATAGCTCCATGTTATGGACCAAGGAAAAAGGACCAAGACAATGTGCAACAACTTCTCGTTGGAGCTTTATGGTCTTTGTCAAGAGCAAATTTGTATTTCCTGGATGCCTTGGTTTTCTGCTTTGTGAAGTTGCTACTACACTCAAGCATGTCACGGAGTTTCTCGAGATGATATGTTGTTGCTCTCTGTCACAAGGATATGTGTTTTGCAAGGCAATAACTATCATGGAACTGCTGAACATACTACTCACCATAGCACAGTTGGGCATGGCTGCACTTGGCGGGAGGCACTCTACTAACACTATTCTCGAGTCGAACCTTGAGGACAAGGTTCTTATTGAGGACGGGAGTATTGTTATGAACCAGTCTCAACCCGATGTGTATACCTGCAAACAAGCAGCTATTGGGCCGAGAAATAGGACCAAAAGACCTTCACAAAGATTGAGTTGGATCCAGGCCCAATTAGCAACTATTTAAAAAGGACTAGCGGGTAGAACGAAGGGGTATGCGAATTATGTTGAAGCC